CATGGCACTTGCGCATGGGTCCGTCCCTGCAACGTTGACAAATCTGAGTGGTCGAGCTCTGGCCTGCGGCAGCCCCGCAAGCATCACCTCACCAGGCCCTCAGTGCCCTCACCCCTCTCTCGGAGCAACCAATGGCCGGTCGGCAATCATAATGGCAACCCGTGCTTTTCTCGTGTTGGTTGACAGGAACCTCCTGAGTAGGGATGGCACCCGCAGGGTTTGGGTACGGGTGGAGCCACCCCATACCCTTACCCATCCCCTCTAAGCTTACCCATCACCCTTACCCATACCCATCAATGGGTATAATTTTTCCCCATACCCGTTACCCGACAGGGTACATGGGTACCCATGGGTAAAATTACCCATGTTTGCAAAGCATCAATTTGAACTACTCATAGTCATAAAAACAACATATAATTATAATCTACAAACATAAATAGATTATAACAACAACACACTTTTAAACAACAACACATCATAAACAACATCATATTTAATAAACAACATCACTTTCTCGTAAACAACAACACATCAAAACATTATCACACAGTCATTTCACAAATTCATGATAAAGTGTAGAGATAATTTTGAGTTCATATAGATTTTATATGGGTACATGGGTATGTGGGTATGGGTTACATGATCCCATACCCGTACCCACTCTACCCGATGGGTTTAACATTTCCCTATTCATATACCCATGGATAATTTTTTGTCCCATACCCTTACCCTAATAGGGTTTTTACCCGCAGGGTACGTGGGTAATGGGTACCCATTGCCATCCCTACTCCTGAGGTCTATAGCAGGTGGCACCATGGGCTCTCTCCCTCTTTCCTGCACGATTCACTTGCGCGTTGAAAGGGGGGCTCCTAAGCATCGCGACTCGGGAGCTCTTACTGGCTCTCCAGCCCTCACCCCTTGGCCTTGTCCATGGCATCGCGACCTGGCATACCAGCGGCGGCTGAGCTTGTTCAAGGCCGGGACCTGAGGACGTAGAGCACCAAGGAAAGTGTGGGGAAGAGAAGGGAAGCTCGCGAGCGCCTAACCCAGCTACATCCCAGCTGCTGACGTACAAGTCCGGCGCAACTCGAAGGAACGACTCCATGTTTTGAAGATAAGTTTCGCGCCTAGAATGGCTAATTGATGCGACACAGAATCTCCGCTTAATGCGGCTCTGTGGCGGCAATGTTGCCTTCCTTTCTCACCTTTTGGCGGTTGCTTGCACGCTAAAGGGGACCTCCTGAGCATCGCGCCTCAGGGGCTCTTACTGCACCTCGGGCCGCTCACCTCCTGTCCTTGACCACGACATCGCGACCTGGCATACCAGTGACGGTTGAAGCCTGCCTGGGGACCGGGACCTGTCAGCGTAGAGCACCAAACCTTCGTGAGATTAGAAAGGGGGAACCAAGCCGGGACAGAACATCAAGGAGGCGCCATCGTATTTAAAATGAATCACGAGGGCACCCCCTGTTCGGCAGACCCGGGCAATCTCGCCCCAGCCTCGGGTCATGAAGACCTTGCCCGAAGTGATGACTTCAACCTCCGCTCCGGTCGCCGGAGCACCACAGTCGGTGTGCTGCAGCCAAAGCTCGAGAGGCCCCCTCGGCGGCATCTCGAAGGCGAAGAATGAAGGGAAGCGGATCCAGGTGCTTGGAGGCATCGCGGCGTGAAGCACGAGCTCGCGAGAGGAGTCCACGGCATGGACTCCAGGAGCAATGGCGCGCACCGCCACGGTTCATCGACCTCGCCTGCGGCGGGGGCAGCATCGCTCGTCATCCCTTTCTCCAGGGCCCTCAGCCCGGGCGTACAGGGGTAGCGGGAACCGAGGAGGTGGCCGCTCGCACCAAGGCCTCGTCATCTCCGGCCTCGCAACCTCGTCGCAGCGGCATGGGACCGGCTGTTTCTTTGGTGGGAGCGGGTCAGGCCGCTCCCGGGGGGGCTTTCCTTTCTCTTCGGCTGAGAACCTGCAGATTGGTGCCATTGGCGTCAAGAATGGAGGTGGAGCAAGAGAGAAGAAGCAGGCGGAGCAGGAAGAGATGGACAACGGGGGCTCTCGCCTCTCCGTATTTATAGTCCAGGGGAAGCCAACCGTCGGCCTCCACAATCATAGGTAATGATGACTCTTTTTGCATGCAGCAGGGACTCGTCAAATCGGGTAGTTGTTGAGGCAGCATGGGGATGCAGAGACGCCCACGACCAATCAACCGCCACGCGGCGACCAAGGCCGCAGGCTTTTGGGGCCCGCGGCGCTCCGCACTTGCCCTTTGGCTTCGCTGCTAAGCCAAGTCCGAGCACGCCCTGGGCCCGGGGGCTACTGTCGGCGTTCTGGGAACGGGGGTCGCCAGACTTGCCTGCCTGCGGCCTGCAGCGTGGCTCAACCAGTGGCCCAATACGGCCCGTCTTCATCAACAAACGCTCAAGACCCTTGCGAGGGGCCAAGCCTCGCGGGACGGATGATGCAAGGCCTCCTCGGGGGCGTCCTAACCAGGCAGGCTCGCGAGGAGGTGGAGAGATCAAGGCAAGGGGTACCTCGCGAGGTGCTCATGTCACAAGCCATGACGATCAAGACCAGGCGAGCGCCAGGCGGGCGCAAGCCTGCACAGTGTCCTTGTTTCCTTTTTGGTGCAAAGGGGGCAAGCGCAGGCGTGGAGTACCGAGGCATCAAGCAAAGGTTTCCATATCAGTGCAACGAGACCAAGACCAGCAGGACAGCAGGACGGAGGTCACCGTGGAGCCCAAGACGATGTCATCACCAGTGACTTTGGCAGTCAAAGACCACCTTTAGTCAGGATAGCTTGTACTAGTTGCTCCCTTTCAAAATGGCAGTTATTGGCTCCCTTCCCACTCAATATTTGAAAAGAGGATCAGGGCCTCTATAAATAGGGCCAGCCACCACAGTAGAAGAGAAATTTGATTCGAACCTAGCTCATCCATACACCACCACAAGAACACCTCTCCTCGCGAGGTTGTTCTTCCTCTGTACTGTTCATCATCAGCCCAAGAGACAATCCACCACACCACACACTAGATTAGGATATTACACCACAATGGTGGCCCGAACCAGTATAAACCTCGTGTCTCTTGTGTTGTTCATCGTGCTAGCTTAGAATCGCGGCGAGGTTGTGGGCGTGTATCGGTAGGGAGAAGATCTTCGTGCGCACCCCAGAGTTCAAACCTTAAGGGTTTTGCCGGAACCCGATATCCGACAAATACAAAGACACCGAGAGCGGGGGCGGACCTACATTGAGGTGAGTGGGGGCCTGAGCCCCCACTCAAAATTTGAAGTTCTACTAAGATTTGCTTGTATTTTCTGAAAAATATGCTTACATTCTTTGAGTTTTTATAGAATATGCCCCCACTCAAGTAGTTTGCCCCTAGTCAAAATACGTTCTAGGTCCGCCACTGACTGAGAGTTGCACAATTCAACTTCATCACCTGCAAAAGAAAAGACTACAATACACATTGTTTTTCGAAGATGATACATGATCTTATCTTGTTCATTTAATTTCTCTCCACTTTATTCTTCTTGTATCTGATCATGTAGGTTTATATTTGTAGTACAATACATTTTGTTTTCTTTACCATATGAATTTTATGTATATGTAGTCGATCGAGTGTCTATTTTTGACCTCAGCTTCCTCTAGGGATCATATACATTGTTTGTACAACACATTTATGTACAATATATTTAGGCTTGGATCTCCTGAATCTACCACTAGGGATCACATAATGACACCACACTAGGTTTCATGTTTTTAATACTCTCTTTGCATTTCCGAAATAAACACCAAGAACCTCCATTTTGGGGTCGAGTCTTGGTACCCTAAAGTCCGGAATTCCTTTCCTCTTAATGGATAAGGCAAAAAAAGAGACTGAAGAACTGAAATATGAAAAAAAAATCAATACATTTTGCCAACCTTTTCATGCACTTATTTTTCAAATTTGAATTATATTTACTAAATGCCTAGGAATAGTGGCTTAAAAATAGCAAACAAGCCTCGACAAAATGCCAAATTTTGACATGGAACATGTGATGGTGTATGATACGCGTAAAAAAGTTTCACTCAAATGATGAATCATGACACCATGCCAAATTCATATATTTTTTTAATTCATTTACATTTTTTAGAATTTAAAAATAGCTTCATATTTGTAGAAAGAAAATAGAAGCAATTTTTTTAAAATAAATAGAGAGAATAAAAAGGAAGACTGTTTTCTAAGAAGCACTTGGCAAAGCCCGCTCTTTGCCTTGTGTGTTCGTTTGTCGGGTGTAAACACTAAAGCAAACGACCAGTGACCAATTTGCCTAGTGTCAGGTTTTTGTCAAGTGTTTTTGCCAGGACACTGCAAAATTCAAGTTTGCCGAATGCCAGACAAAATTGACTCGGTTATAAGCCAACACTAGGCAAAATCATGGATCCCAATAGTGTCTGTCATGTGGGTTGTGAACTTGTCATGGAGGGAAGGAGATGCATGGCGACGAGAGCAAGAACAAGGCAGGGTTTTTTTTGGGACTGTCTATTCAACAATCGACTGATTTGTAATTGGTTATCACTCAAATTTTCCAACCTATTACTGTTGACAGTTGTATGTCTGTTTTTCCTGAAGAAAACAGGTCGGGCTGTATATGTAACCCGTCAAGCGACTAACAGCGAGAAAAGGTTGAACCAGTCACTCCTACTGTCCTTTCCTTGACCCCTCAAAAGCTCCTGACAGGAAAAAAATCAGAAAAAAGAAACAACTGGCTAATAAAATGCACAAACCATTCAGGTAAAAATAGCTAATAATGCACCAGAAAAGCATTCCAGTAACAAAAGGAACCTAAAACTGTTATAGGGGCGATGATACAAGTTATCGGTCTAAAAAGTACATTGAATCAGAACATTCTTGGACCAATAATACTGTTGTATCAAAATAGCTAACACATCATGAAAACTATACGAAGCTAATAAAGGATGGATGAATCTCCAGTCTTGTTGACCACCAAGAAAATCTTCACGCTAGACCACCATATTGCTTCTCCACATGGGAAAAGCACTATTAGCACTGTTGAAAGCATTAGCAACACACTCTTGATTAGAACCATTCAAAATCGTTTCCTATGTGAGAGAAATGAAGACCGAAGTAAGACACCTTACATTAAAAGGAATAAAATTCACAAACAACTATAGAAGACACAAAAATATATACAAGAAAGTAGCAGAAGAACAACTTACAACAATATATGAGAAGAAGAAATGCTTCTTAGAAATGGAAGGGTGAGCTTCATTGAATAGATAACGACACACGCACAAGATCAAGAAATTGTCTACACGGGCTTTGAACTGGAGAGAAGAAAGATTACGGTAACTGCAGTAAGCTCTTTCATATCGAATTGCTTCATACACTGAAGAGGTTAGAACAAAAGAAACGGAACAAAACTTATGTGCACCATTCTGATGACTTGCAATCTGAATCATGGCAAGATGGTGACACCTTTCTTGAGCAGAAACCGAATAACGATTTACTTGAGGAACATAGGGGTCAGAGTTAAGGGGATGAATTTCCTTTTCAACTGAAACTCAGAAGCAGATATGGGTAAATTTACACTGTAAAAGAGGTGTAGGATTAAAGTGCAACACCATAGAAAATTACACCGTAATTATCAGTCAAATTACTGTGTAAAAAAAGGCATTCGAATTACATTGTAGATATGGGTAAATTTACACTGTAAGAAAGGTGTAGGATTACAGGCTAACTACCATACAAAATTACACATGATATGGGTAAATTAGTGAGTAAAAAAAAGTCATCGGATTACAGTGTAGATATAGGTAATTTTCACTGTAAAAAGAGGAGTAAGGGTTACAATGTAACTAACATACAAATTACACAGTAACTATCAATCAAATTACTGTGTAAAAAAAGGGGCATCGGATTACAATGTAGATATGGGTAAATTTACGTTGTAAAAAAGGTGTAGGATTATAGTGTAGCTACCATACAAATGACCCAATGATTAACGGAAGAGGAAGAAAGACTTACAACATTCCTTCTGCCAGCAGATGATAATTTTCTCTTCAGGTACTTGACTTTCTGATCAAAAAACAAAAAACATAAATCATCAAACCAACATATGAAAAAATATGGATTAAAAACATCAAACTCTTCATCATCACCAGAAACATGGAAAAATGGCTTACATTATTCACATAGAAATTGTAAAGTGCTTTATCAAACTCTTCATCATCACCGGGACAACCCTGCAATAGGAAAAAAAAATAGAAAACAAGAACGAAAATAAATAAATAAAGAAAAATAGAAAAGAAAATGAAAACAAGATAAGAAGACAAATAATAACTACCAAAGACATAGCATTAGAACCATCATCAGCAAAATCATTAGGCACATAAGGGTCTTTCAAGGAATCAGCACTCTCGACTGAAGAAACTAGGGGAACATCCTTGCAACAGACTTTCCGCAGTCTACCTGTTGAGATACTACTTGAAAAACAATAGAGAGAAAAAAATGGGCCTCAAAATGAAGAAATGCAAATAGCGAGCTAAGGGAAAAAATACACTCTAAGAAAAATGGGTAAAATTACGATGTACAAATGCATAAAGCACATGGTGACTAGCATACAAATTACATAATAAATACGGGAGAAATTACAGTGTAAAAACGCATGAGATTACAGCGTAACTAGCATACAAATTACACGGTTATTATGGGTAAAAAATACTGTGCAAAAGCGCAACAGATTACAGTGCAAAGGCAGCAGGCTTCCGAACTGGATGCGGCGCAACAAAACAACCTTCAGCAGAAAACGTGATGTAAAGATATTTTACAAGCCTCACGTCACTAGATACAACAGTGATGGTGATATTGAAAAAACTAGGAAGACAAAATCCCAGAGTTGTTAGCAGAACCAAAATTGACAGACAAATTCCCAAAGAACTTCTGAAGTGATAGTTCACAGAAGCAAGAGCATCTGCTGCCAAACATGTGACCAGTTTACTGAATCTTACTCGCAGATCAAGCATCTGCCACCACACATGAGTGGTCAAAAGCACCACAGATTTCACAAAATCAAGACTGCACAATCTTATCCATCGACTGCTTAGTAAGGTTCAGAAAATAGACAAACATAAGTCATGGGATCATTCAGATTTCAACAAAACATCAAGACCGCAGGGCTCCACAACAAACAGGGTGATCTGCGAGGCCACTCATGCAAAAAGCACAGGGTGACTGGCATACAAATTACACAATAAAATACGGGAGAAATTACAGTGTAAAAACGCATCAGATTACACTGTAACTAGCATACAAATTACACAATTATTATGGGTAAAAAATACTGTGCAAAAGCGCAACAGATTACAGTGTAAAATATGGGCAAACTAGGAAAAACAGTCGACTGAAAATTAGCAAATCATGCAAACTAGGAAACTGATAAAAACTGCAAGGCATGCAATAATTACAGTCCTCGACCACACAAACTACAGTGTAATATTCTAGGGAAATACAGTGTAAAACTCTGGTGAATTATGAATGTAAGACAATTACAGTACTCAACCATGCAACTTACAGTGTAATAATACTCTAGTGAAATACAATGTAAAACTATAGGGAATTACACTGTAAAACTATAGGGAATTACAAAGTAAAACACTGAAGAAATACATTAAAAGTCATGCAACAATTACAGTCCTAACCCACATATTACACTGTAAAACTCTGCTGATTTACAGTGTAAGCCCAATAGGAAAAATACGTTGTACAATTACAGTCCTAACCCACACAAATTACACTGATTTACAGTGTAAGCCCAACAGGAAAAATACACTGTACAATTACATTGGTTTCCCACAAAAATTACAATGTAAAACTCTGCAAATTTATGGTGTAAGCCCTAGGAAAAATACACTGCAAGCCCTTCAACAGTTATAGTCCTCACCCACAAAAATTATAGTGTAAAACTCTACTCAATTACGATGTAAGCCCTAGGAAAAATACACTGTAAGACCATACCACTAATTACAGTCCTCATCCACACAAAATACAGTGGAAAACTCTGCTAATTTACAGTGTAAGCCCTATGGTTAATTGCAGTGTAAAAGTCTAGGAAAAATACACTGTAATCCCTACAGCAAATTACAGTCCTCACCCACACAAATTACAGTCTAAAACTCCAGGAAAATACATTGTAGGCCCTACCACAATTACAGTCCTCAAACCAAGCTAGTTACACTGTAAAACTCTAGGAAAATACATTGAAAAAAAATGGTTATTTACATTGTAAGTGAATCATAGTGTAAAACTACAGTGAATTATAGTGTAAGCCCTACTACAGTTACAAGACTGCTAATTACAGTACCATACAAAGTACAGTGTAAAAATCCGGGGGAAATACAGTGTAAAACTGTAGTGAATTACACTGTAAGCCCTAAAACCATACAACAACTACATCACTCATCCAATCCAAATTACAGTGAAGGGGTATTATAGTGTAACTTTGGGGAGGTACAGTTAAGAAGCACAAGAAATACATAGGAAAATAACCTATGGGACTACAATCAAACATAATACAGTGAACTTCAGAAATACATTACAAAAATTCATCAGGCATAAAACTACAGCAAAAGAAAACTAGGGGAAATACAGTCTAAGTCATAGATACATCACATAAAAATTAAGAAAAATACAGTCTAAATCATACTATGATGAAGGCAGTGCTACTACACATGCACAGTGACGAACAGGGGGTATTACAGACTAGAACAAGGGCAAATACAACAGGTGTAAAATATGGGGTAATTACAGTGTAATTCAGATAATACAGTAACAATACATGGAGCACGACATGCAGCACGACAGTACATTGATGAACATTCAGATTAATATCAAACCTAACAGTGGCAAATACATGGAGCACAACAGTACAGTGATAAACATTCAGATAAACATCAAAAAGCTCCGAAAACGACCAACCTAACAGCGCCAATGAGGAGATCAAACCTAAAACCTAAACCTAACACTGGAGCACAAGGGATCCGCGGCGAACTGAAGCGAGCAAAGGGAACCCGTGGCAGATTGACGCGAGCAGAGGGGATTACGAGGCCAACAGACAAGAGCAGAGGCGATTTCCAACGGGAACTGACCGGAGCAAAGGGAATCCACGGCGAACTCCATGGATGAGCGTCGGCTAACAAAAAACTACACTAACCAATAGCTAAACAACATCAAAAAGAACCAGGATCCACAGGAACCACAACAAAATCGATCCGCGAGACCTAGATCTGGAAGCTACACTACCAAAATCGAAACACGGGGAAAGGGAGAGAGACAACGGAAACTAACCAACGAATCGGAGAGAACTCTCAAGCTCGAGGAGAGAGGGATCTCGCCACCGCCATGAACCAGACTGAAATCGCCTCGTCCCCTCCGCCGCTCGAGCGCCTCCTCCTTTCGCTCCCTCTCTGCCCCCCTTTCGAAAAGGGGGAAATGAAAAGGAAAAGAGACACGGGCGTCCATTAACGGGCTGAACCCAGAAAACCACTCCCGACAAAAGAAAACTGAACCGGCAACAAAAGAAACCCGCCAGGAAATCAAAGAACTAAGCACGAATCACAGAGCGCGATTGGACGGCCACAAATTCGAATGACAACCAATTGGAAAACACTCGACTGAAAAATAGCAAAACCGTTTTTTTTTATCTGGAGAACAAGGTAGTATTTGTGGTAGAATAAACGTCGGAGTAATTAACACGTGAGGCACATCATTTACATAGCCATACTTTCTTTTGTCGCTCCGCAACAACGCATGGTGTTTAGCCAGTAATTAATACTAGCATCGAAACAATGACAAATAGAGTACATAAACCCGAGAAAACATCAAGTATACGTGAACGGCGGCTTATTTAGTTAGACTAGCAAGATGCCCGTGCGTTGCACGTAACATCAAGATGCATTTGTATGACTAGTTTATCTTGTGAAAGAAAAGGATGAACGAGGGAAGGCCTTATTTGCAAATGCAGAGAGGTGTGTAGGTACCTTTTTGCAAAATTTCTATAATTTTCTTCCTATCCGTCAGATATAAATCAGACGGCCTATATTGCAGGATGGCAAGCACACCATCATCACCAACTCTATTTTTTATAAGAGTGTAGATTAGCAGCGACTCGATCCACCGCCAAGAGTACGTAGCATCTCACACACCATACGCTGCACCTGGTGAGTGAGGTGCACACAGGTCTCCCATCCCTGGCCTAAGCTCAGACGTCAGACCAGGTGACCTTGAACTCTCCAATCGACTCCTTGAGCCCCAGCGCCTTCCACACCGCCGGCGACCCGTCCAAGGCGTTGTTCGGGCACGGAGGCTCGAAGTTGTGCTCCTCATCGCAGCCGTTCACCGAGTCGCACTCGTCCACCACCTTGACCAGCACAGACCACCCCTTCTCGTTGATGCGGATCATCTT